CAACGTATAAAGGTGCAAAAATCCGGAGAGGCACGGTCGTCGCCGGGACACCTAGGTCCGCGATCCACCTCGACATCTACCGACGCGCACTACGAGTTTCTCCTAGCTCAAATATTTATCGATTACGATGATTGTTTGGAGGTTCGGCCACGGTTTACGGGGACCATCCTGTCCTCGGTCGATTAGGCTGACGAAACGTCGATGATCGTAGAAAAGAACATGGACAAAGGATCTGACGATGGGACTAGCTTCCGCGACGATCGAATCGTCCTTGAACCAAATTTAACCCTTTGCGGACGGACGTCGGCATCTCGGTGAGATGAAATGTTCAAATTTGGAAGAGTAAGTCGTGAATGATCTAATTAGTGAAACAGCAAGAGATCAGCACATTTTCTCTTCTTATATTAATTAAGTAATCGATATATAATTTAGCTTCGTATGTTGAAGGTTTTGTACGTTTCGTAGAATCTTCGTCCGCAGAGGGTTAACTTCTTTGAAGGCCTTCACATACGTTGAAACCCGCGACGATGCAGACTCATTACGAATGATGAGCTTCAGTCTTCCAGAGTTTGATTATAAATGTAGCACTCAAGCAAGAAGCGGAAGAGGCTCGAACCCGTTGCTACTAGCGATGGGTTTGAGTCTTCCAGAGGTTGATTATACGTGTAGCACTCGAACAAAAGTGGCAGACGCTCAAACCCATCGCTCGTAGCAATGTGACACGCTCATCTTCTAGCACCAAACTCAAAAGATAAAATTACTCACCAACTTAGTACATAAGAAACTCCTGACACAGGCAGTTCTGTATCGAAACTCGTGAGTCTCAGTTCAATAAAGAGCGCAGCGAATGTATTGTCCATTTAATTCTTCTCTGCGGATTTAGACTAATTAGACGAGTGACATAAGAATCTACGAGTTGAACGGATTACACCGTACGTGCACTCTGATTCTTATTAACACTAAAACTACCGAGCAATTGATTTTTGAAAATTTCGCTATAGAAATTTCAAGAGGGCATCTGTTCAGACTTTGATTTACAATTCAATTTGCGTAGTGCTAAATGAATTTCCTCGATAATTTCTCAGAGAACCATTTGTTACCTTTCTAACAATTGCAAAAAGAAGACATGGGTCATTTGACCCCTCTGGTAGTTTTAGTGTTAAAGTTCAGACCTCGTTCATTTCGTTCTAATCCACGCGAGGAATGAACCTAGTGTACTACTTCCTTTTTATCTTTATCTCGCTATTTATCTATTTTATACGTGACACCTGAATCGCAGCATGTTCCAGCGTGTATGTGGGCCTTGAGCCTAATCAACAGTTCCGCCTACGAGTCAAAGTGAAAAACGAAGTCCTTATCGAAGTCGAGCAAGAAAAATATAAGAATTCCCGGTGCTCGGGTTCACGCTCGTTACACGGTCATCGAAGTCAAATAATTTGCTCTCCGATTGATAACGAGGAAACGGTTCCTTATCTGCTTCCCCGGAGTTTTTTGTCCCGTCGCGTGAACCGCCCGATAAGAAGCTTCTTCCCAGCGTCCCACCGCCAATGATCGTTCCAACGCTGATCCATGTCCACGGACGTCATTCCCATTGACAGATAGCGCGGTCTTTGTTCGCGGCACTCGTCACCGTTATTAATACGGGACGACGTCATCGTTATCGGCCGCGAAGCCGCCGTTATCGCGACACCTCCCCGCTGACCCGACCCTCGGTAACAAAATAGGCGGGCGTCTCGGGCCGACTCGATTCGCCGCTGACAAACACTCGGAACCGTATGCTCCGGTGAAATACAGCTTCCTCTATCCCTTCGAGCGCTGCGGACACGCGTGTCGGCGGAAGCTACCAGCGTGGACTGTCGCGTACAAGTGTCAAGAGTATCAGGGACTACGGAGAAATTATACACACTCGTGAATGTTTCCAATCACCTTCGTACTCAGAAGTATCAGTGTACGAATACATTCATTCTTTCAACGACAGGAACGGTCCACGAGCATTTATTGTTGTTTACTCGATCGTTGGACAAACTGATGCTCGTTTAGACCTTGGAAATTAGAGGTGCGAAGGTGTTATAAACACTGACCAAGCGTTTAGAATTCAACATCGAATTGACGTAAACCTAGCGTCGAACGAAAGAAAAGCTTGTACACGTCAGCGAAGAATCGAAGTTCACGCTAGCAACAGTTATCCCTAACCAGTAGTCCACGCGGGCAGTTTGCTCCAGCAGCGTCCAGCGGTCAAAGGGCTAACGCGGCGACGAAGCAATTTTTCGTTGTCGTTCGAGGAACGAATCGACTTCCGGTTCGTCCCTGTCCGTGATCCCTCGATCGTCGAACATCATCCTCGATCGCGACGCTCCCTCGCGAATCGGGGAGCCGTCCTCGGGATCGGTAAAAAGAAAAGACAATCGCAAACTCGCTGGAGGAGCTTCTCCAGCGAGGACAAGCTTCCCTTCGATTCCTGTCCGTCAGTGGAAGAGACTTCGAAGGAAGACTGGAGATCGATCTCAAGGCTGTCCATGAGAGACCTTGAGTCCGTTCGAGTCGCGTGCCGGGACACGACCCGGCTCGCCAGCGTCGTTCGACGCTGAATCGTTGAAAATCGGTGAACAGCTCGCGTGTTCACCCGGTACAGAGACAGAGGATTGTCCACGTGACGAGCGCACGTTCACTCGAGCACCCCGCGGACGTCGGCGTCGCGCGACGGCGAGGCGGACAAGGATGAAGACACCGTGGAAGGCGTAGCTGGCGCCAAAGGAGAGACTGTCCGCGACTGACAATATCAGAAGACGCACGTGCAGTCCTCCGAGGCCCTGGCCTACCTGGCCCGCTTCCTGTTCAGCTTGGCGAGCTTGCGCCGTTTCAGGATCAGCTGGTACAGCGTGTCCAGTCCTTCGTGCAGACCTTCGCCGGTGATCGCGCAGGCTGGCTGCACCCTGATGCACGCGCTGCCGGGCATGCCTGCCAGCTCCAGGACGCCTAGGTGCTTCTCCAGCTCGCCGACCTCTTTGGCACCTGTGGACACGCGAAGCAGATCGATTCGGTCAGTTCCAGCGAACGCGTCGTCTTCGTGGTATAGGGATTAACCCTTTGCGCTCGAGAGGTGACCCTCACTCACCACTTGATTTCATGCAGTGAAACTATAAAATTTGATATTTAATATTATACTTCGTATAATGCATCAAATTGAGAAATATTGAAATAAAATAGCTTCGTTCCTCAATGTATGCGCGACTTCTCTTCGAATTAGTTTCATAAAATATCGTCTTTATCTCATCGGAAAATGTTAAAATATTTCTAGTGAAAAACTTCCGAGAGGTTAACCCTTTGTGTCTCTCAGTCACCACTCGATTGGTGCATGAAAATTGTAAAATTGCGTAATTAACATTAACCACTTGCGCTGGATTTGCTAATACGATTTGATTGTGATCATTGGTACTAGCAAAAATTGTCCTTTCTCTTTTATTGAGAAATGATCGATTGATTTTAGAAACGAACACTGAGTTTTGTTAAATTAATCTGGAAACCTTCGTCGCGAGTCATCGTATGGCAAGGGGTTAAATAGAACATATCGTCTTTGTACACAGAATATTCAAGAAAACTTCGTAACTTTCTGTAGAGTATACCACGCGTTGCAATGCTAGACGAGAACACAGGTAAATATAATTTACTCTTGTTTCCACAAGATATGAAATGTCACAAATACGTGACGCTGATAGCCAACGTGTTAAAGAGACTTTCCTGTTTACCCACAAGCTAAAAGAGGAATCATTCTATCTTATTTCTTTCAGAATTGTGCTTGCAACTTCTATCTTTGCGTCTCGGTTTGTTTCGCGTCGCTTCTTTGTTATACGATTAGGTTAATAACAAGATTCCGTGAAACCGTCGCTGATGCTAGAAATACTATCGAGCACCGCCAGTGGAAGTCTCTTTGCTTCTAAACTTTTAGCTCGTGGATAGTCGTCTAAGACTCGATAGGTGCACGGTACTTGGATTTAGAGGATTCTCTGATTGGATGAGACTAATTTGCCAAGGCTGATGAGATGCGCAGTCTTCTTGGAAGTCTTCTTGCCTATTGCAATTGGAATGCATAGGAGATTCGTTCTTCGTTAACTGGAATGGATGTTCAGTCCTTGATCGACGATCGCGATGGATTAAAGGATAAGCGGGATGATCCAGGGAGCCGTTGCCACGCGATTCCCCATTAGAATAAACGATTCATAAACGGCCCGGAGCAGTGGATGCGCCCCGGAACGCATTTCCGCGGGCAAATTATGTCATCTCGCGGGGTAACAGTCCGATAATCCCAATCGATGACGCGCGATTGCTCAACAGACGGTTCCAGCTGCGCGATGGAGGTCGCGGCGGAGATTAACCTAATAGACTTTGCCCGGATACGATCGGATTCATTTTTCCACGACAATTTCCTTTCAATATTATTCCGCGGCACTTATCGAGAGGATGAAGAGCCGCCTCTCGGCGGGGACCGATCTAGAATCTAAACATGTCCCACTATAAATCGCGGTCAAGTGCATTCAAAGACTTCCAAGCCTGAAGCCGTACGCCACGGCCGATACACCGCTGTTTCCTTGGCCACTTGATCCTACGTTCTCAAGACTTCAAAGATTCTGCTCTCTGGCAAGGGAATCGGACGTTCGAACTATTCGAAAGCGTTTTCTATCCATAGTATCTTAATACTATTCCTACAGCGACCAGTCAAATGACTGTTTTTCAAATTTCGATTAGAATTTCCTATAGACAACGTAATTGAATTACCTTTATACTTCACGACTTTTCCTACAATATGTGTATGAAACATTTTTCAGTATTCACACCTTTTTTTGTTGTTTATTTTCTGAAAAAATTTGTAGTCTGTCTTACCTACCACGACCGGTCATTTGACCGGTAGAACGATTTATATCTTTTTGTAATAGCATTCTCTCAAAGACTCAATTCCGAAACTATAAAGTCGCTACAAACGAAAGGTACTGCAGTTGTAGCATGATTTTAGCCAAAAGGTGCCTTTCGGGGACTGCTTTGCGGTACTTTCAAGTGTTTACAGTTCTCGCTCGCTTATCGGCCTTGGTAAAATCGGTAAAATCTAAATGTCGGAGATGACCTTTACAGGTATTTTTCTATATCCTAGATTTAACCGGGATAAATGCATGGCTTTTATATAAAGAATCCACGGGAGAAGAAATTTTGAGGCAGGAATTTTTATTTTAATTGACAGGAGAACTTGCCATTGAATATCAAAAAGAACTAGAGTCAGGCAAAGAAAATCAAGCAACACCCGTCACAAATACAAGTACAGGATCACGCGAACGGAAACCATGCCAAATAAGATATTACACAAACAATAAGACTAACAAAATCTGTCTAAAATGTAACAAGTACGTGTGTGGGAAATGTACAATCGACAAACCTACTTGTAGAAAATGCGGTGAAAACGAATAAAATGTAAATTATATGCTTCTGAATGAAAGAAACTATATTTATATACTGTCAAATTGACTATTATCTTCATTCTATATTAAAAAATATAAGTTGTGCTAAAGACCAGTCATTTGACTGGTCGCGGTAGGAATAGTGTTAAAATAACTGTTTTGCATGCTCTTTTCGTCTATCTTGTTCTGTCCAACGAAGGTTGTTCTAATAGAACGTTACTATTTTCGATTGATATTAAATTGTAAGATTCTATCGAGTATTTTCAAGTTCGAAACAATATTCTTTAATCGTGATTCTCAGGTTTCACCTGTTAAACGAATGGAGCCTTAAAATAACTATTTTGCATGCTCTTTTCGTCTGTCTTATTCTATTTAACGGAGGTTGTTAAATAATAAACATCAAAAAATCGACTCGACCGCATTGGTTTCCGAGCGACTCGGATATTAACCCTTTGCACTGGAGAGGTCACTCTCACTCACCACTTGATTTCATACAGTAAAACTATAAAATTTGACATTTAATGTTATACCTCGTATAATGCACCAGTTTGCGAAATATTGAAACGCAATAGCTTCGTCCCTGAATGTACGTGTGATTGAATGTATACATGTCGGTAGGAATAGTGTTAAATCTCACCTGGCAGGTCCTGCTTGTTGGCCAGGATCAAAATAGGCACGCCAGCGTTGTCAGGGCTCCTGGCCGTCCTGGTCAGCTCCATCTTCGCCTCCTCGAGCCTCTCCGCGTCGCAGGAGTCCACCACGAAGATGATCCCGTCGGTGCAACGGGTGTACGACTTCCACAGAGGTCGCAGCTTCTCCTGACCGCCCACGTCCCACACCAGGAAATTCACACCTGCAACGAGCCGCGGTGCGAGACCGTTTACTTTTCTGCTCCACTAACGAAAGTCCCAGCTTCGCTTGCCGAAGCGGCCGTTGAAACGGAGAAAACGAGAGGCACAACGTTTCCAATTAGAAACTATAAAGACAACGCGGACAACACGCCGCGGAACACAGTAATTCCTCGGAATCAATTTCCCCGGCAAATTCCCCGCTCGATAAAACGTTTACGCCGCTCTTGACCCACATGCGATCCGAATAAACAGAGAAATTCGCGCGGAGTCGATTACTCGGACACGATCGGAATATTATCTTCTCGAGTCACGGACCACGAGCTCTGAAAATAACGAGTCGTTTTTTATTCGCAGGTTATTCGGTGGGTACGAGTAAACCTTATTCCTCGTTCGTTCGTTGCGACTGAAGGATCGAACTCGTTACGCGACGAATAATTCAAACCAGAATCGATATAGCGGAGGATATTGAAAGTCAAGAGTGATTAACATTATTTCTACCGAAGCTGTCGCAACACACCTTTCGAAATTATCAGGTAAAATTATTCTCCAGTCGTATATTCTGAATTGATTCGTCGTCTTTTCTAATATCGATTATAGAATCAACTATAGAAAATGTCTTTTGAATTCAATTGAGAACGGCGTTGTGAGTTAACACTTTACGTGTCTTTTAACACCTTCGGTAGAAATGATGTTAAGTGTTACATCTGTTTCATTGTATTTCACAATTTCGAAGTTCGTATCGGTGGAACGATCGATTGACCGGCGTTGAACGATGGTTTCACCTTGAAGGAGGAGGAACGCAACGAAATGAAATCAACTTAATTCCCATTCGCCTCGGGAGTCTCATTAAACCATTGCCGCGCGCTTTTAGTTATAAAATCGTGCCCAGAAACGCAGTTTCTTTTTTAATTGTTTATTTCGACTGGTTCGGGTCATGGAAAATCGTACACAAAATCAACTTGCATGTTACGTAGACCTATTTGATGTAGACCTATTTACGTAGATATTAACACGTTGAATGCCATGGGGGTCACCGGTAACCCCCAAGCAAATCGAATTACTATAATTCACTCAATTAGACGATGATTATTCGCAAACATTTCTATATTATAATGCTACCCATTGCGGTGTCATTCAGTTTGACGAACGTGCAATGATTATAATCCAATTCAGTCAAATGGTTTATTGTTGTACTTTTTCCATTTAATTTTGTTCGATATATTACTGAAGAATAAACAAATAAATGCGTTAGCACAGTCGTTTGCGGCAATGGGTCAATTTTATTCGTTTCAAGGATCCCACCCCGAAAAGGCCACAGCACCCATAGCTTATGAATGCTAGGATCTTAGAGGAAGATGATTCATTAGACCGTCGATTAACCGTTTGAATGCTGAGGAGCGCTATAGCGCTCTTCTTCTGTTGTGGAAAAATTGCGGAGAGCGCGGATGCGCTTCTGTTTATCAGTATCAATTATAATTTTCTTACTATGTTTTCCAAGAGATAAATCAAAGTAAATTTATTTAAATTTATAGAAATTGCAGCAATCGAATTTGGCCGGCGACAATGAGTGACCACGACGGCATTCAACGTGTTAAACATCAATCAAGTCGAAATTTCTAACTTACGAAAAAGAATATGAATTCGATCTTGTGATTTTAGTTTGGATTTGTATTATACATATCTAAAATGTTACATGAACGTAGGATTAGCAATTAAACGATAGCAACGATATCACTGGGCCGGCGCGCAATGTGTTAACCCATTATGTCCCATGACATTTTTTTTCCTTTTTTTTGGAATTTTCTCGACCGAGAAACGATCGCAATAATAATAACGTGATTCAATCAAATGATTTAATATTATATCTTTTCCGTTTTGTGTATTTTGTTCTATGATATCGTGCGGCGTTCAACGTGTTAACCCTTTGAACTCTGTACGTCCCAATATTGCACCAGTTCTAATATTAACAGATTGTTGACCAGCAATTTTACGCAAAAGCCGTCCCATGTCACCGGTTATTATTCTGTAATCAAGTATGAAAAGTGAAACAATCTAAATAAACTTCAACATACTTTATTTATAAACAATGAATTGAAATGAAACTTACAGCGCATCTTGTATATAACATTGTATATTTTGCTTTTACAATATTCTCTATTGCCCTGCGTTCTAGAAATTGAAATAGCTAATGCAGGCGCAAACACGAGTTAACTCGTGACCGGTCAACAACGTGTTAAATATTTTAATGAATTTTAAGGAAACTACCTTAAGATTATTAGATCTTCCAAATATACAGAGTTTGTACCGAGAAGGGAATTAAAGGTCTAAGAAATGTTAGAACATTGTTAATTTTCA